CCCCCACCGCCTTTCAGGGACATAGGCTTGGTGGCGTGGGGCTCCCTGAGGCAGCAGGCACAGGGCCCCCCCCCCACAAGAATGGGATGCAAAGTCGGGGGGGCTGTGACTGTTCCCGCCATCCTGATGTTGTGATAATCAGCGCAGCCTAAGCACTCGCCACGTTAAGACCATGCACGTGACCCCAGACTGATCTCTCTCCCTGGGTCTGCTTTTATCAACGCTGGTGAGAAACTAAGCCTGATTTACACGACGAGTCACGTGGGGAAAGTCTGTGACTCCAGGTACCTGACTGTCCTTGAGACTGATGGCGTGGCAAGCTTGAACGTACTTTTTGAACACAACGGTTACTAATCTCACGATGACCGCTTGCCATTGAATGAATTGTAAAACTGAACCCCCCTCCCCCTGCGCACACACACACAAGGGGCCGAGGCTTCCAGGACACGAGGTGGTGAAGTCGCTGGAACTCTCCAGAGCTCCAGAAGCGGCAGGCGAGCAGGGCACAGGCGTCCCAGGTGCCGACAGGGCCAAGCCGAGGGGACCGGGCCCGTCCCTCTCCGGGTTGTCGGGCCCCTCTCGCAGGTGTGTGGCCTCCTCTCCCATAACGAGGGCGCCCGGTGCTGGCCGGGCAGCTAGTGAAGGCGGCGAGCAGCCAGAGGGGCCCGAGGGCTTTCCCCGCGCGACGTCCAGGGTACGTGTGTTTGTAGAAGGGGGCGCGGGCGCCGCTCTCTCTGTGCACGGCCGCTCCGGGGCCACGGTCGGGCACGGGGTTCTCCAGTGGGGTGGCACGGCCTCCCCCGAGTGTCTGCACACGCAGAGGGGCTGCAGCCCCCTCGGCAGGGACATGCCCTCTGCCCTCAGGCCCTGCTGGGCCACCTGCCCTGCACGTCCAGAAGCCCACCTTCTTGCACCTCCAGGACAATGCTCTGGCCCGGCAGGTCTGCAGGTGTGGCCCCGACCCAGGCAAAGGCCTGTGTCAGGAGGCCTCTCTACCACGCCCGGCCATTTCCTCCACCGTCTGTGAACTGCCACGACGAGGGCCGGGGCACCGTGGGTTGCCGGTACCTACACGCCGGGGGAACGGCCGGCAAGTCCCTAGAGCCGGTGACTGGCCACCAGAGCCCTGCCCGTCCTGAGCTGGGTGCAGATGTCCCCAGGCCCAGCGCAGGGGCTCGTGCTCCGGGCGGTTATCTGCCGCCGTGGTGCCCGAGTGCCAGGCTGGCGGGACCGTGGGCCTGCTCCGGGAGGGCAGGGGAGGAGGGCCCCGGAGCAGGGCTTCAGAAGCCCCCCGCTCTCCTCTCAGGAAACGTGTCCTGTCGGCGTCTGGTTGCAGCAGCCTTGCCGCTCTTTGTTGCAGTTGGCTACGCCCTCCATCCAGCTCACAAAAAACAGCCTCGAAAACAACCATTTCCTCTCTGCCGAGGGGGGGACACACGCGCGCGCCGCACACACACAGACGCACAGGCACTTCCCCGCAGCAGGCCCTCTGCCTTCCAGGACCGGCTGTTCCGTGGCGGAGGCACCGGGCAGGGGCTCGGGCAGCCAGAGGCTGAAGCGCTCCGGCACAGCTGAACCGGCCCCGCTCGGAGCCCGGCTGCTGGGTTTGCTCCGAGGAGCTGGTTCTAGGGAGCCAGGCGGGACATACCCCCACGTCGCCGCCCGCCTCTCCGGTGGCTCACGGGGAGGAGAGGCCTAGCTTCTCAGGAAGACGGCGCACGCACCACTCTGGACTGTTGCTGGCGCCCCGGATCCCTCCCCGGGATGGGCGGAGAGGCTGGCTGCAGCTGGGGCCTGGCCCTGCTCCAGGTGCAGGAGGGAGGGTAAGGACGGGCCCAGGTGGGCTCACCGGCACCTGTCACATGGGCCTTCCAGACGCCTCTGAGAATGAGCGGTGATGTCCTCTAGCAGCCCCTAGCTGGTCTCGGCTCTCCCTGGCCACAGCGACTGACCGGGGCCGGGACTTTCTCCAGGACAAGCGGACGGCACCGGCAGTCAGCGATGACTGTTCAGAAACTGGTGGCCACAGCGGTGCTGGTGGCCCTGGTCTCTCTTGTCCTCAACAACGCGGCGGCCTTCACCCCCAACTGGGTGTACCAGACGCTGGAGGACGGGCGCAGGCGGAGCGTGGGGCTGTGGAAGTCCTGCTGGCTGGCAGATGGGACCCGGGGAGGGCCGAGCCCCGGGGCCCGGCCGGGGCCGGCGGACGCCAGAGACTGTGAGGCCCTGGGCTGGGGCTCCGAGGCGGCAGGCTTCCAGGAGGCTCGAGGCACCGTCAAACGTAAGTCTGCCGACTTCTCCGTCTCCTTTAGAACGGTCGGGGCACGTCGTGGGCATGGGGCGCGCGTCTGGTGATGGGGACCCGGGCAAACCCCGAGCTCTGCGCCCACCCTCCAGGGGAGCCCCGGCCACAGTTCTGCTGAGCCAGACCTGACTCTGGCTCCTTTTGGGTGGAATTCTTGGGTGAGCATGGGGCTTTTCTCTGCCTTTATGCAAAGCTATGGGGGCAGATACATTAACGAAATCAAGGAAAATACACTCTCCTTGATGGAAAATACAGATCGTTAGTGAGTGAAATAAGCAAGAAGCTTAAAAACACGGCTGAGTTCTGACTTCATTCCACGGATTGACAGAGTCGTTCAGGCAGCGACTCGGGTCAGATGGCAGACAGGACCTCTGGGAGGGGACCAGCCTGGGGGCAGGGAAGGGACTCAGGACAGTGGCTCTGGAGAGCAGAGCCCCTCACGGGTCTGTCCCCGCCCCAGCTGGTGGCCCGCGGCCGGTCTGTTCACCACTCTGGAAGGTGGGAACAGGACTTTGACCGTGGGGTCGGGTTTGAGGGTAGGGGAGCAAAGGGCTCACGGGTGTAAGACACTTGTCACCTGTGTCACCTATGTGGTCACAGTGGCTGACAGCCAGAGGTCTTCCGAAGTGGACCCTGTGAAGCTGCTGCTGAGGGTCTAACTCCAAGATCAGCAGGAGACCGAACTCGAGCTGGTCCTTTAGAGAACGTGAGGCTTCGGTGGGGGTTGTGTAACTGCTCTCGGAGGGTGTCCCCAGAGTCCTCATCGGTGACTACCCCCACCTGCCACGTGCCGGGGGCCCTGCCCGGCTCAGGGGCCGGGGTGGGGGTGGGGTCCCATTCCACAGGCAGAGACAGAGGCTGCAAGAGGCACGTGCTCCTCCGAGGTCCCTGTGGGGAGGCCACCCCAGTTTTTCCGCCCAGAGCCCCTTCCTCTGGGTCTGGGGGTCTTCTGGCGGGGGGG